CCACCGGGTGTCAGATGGGTGTTTTGGGACAAGACATTTAGGATTTTCCTCAGCGTGTTGCAATAAAAAATTCCAATAATGTGTTGATGCAAGAAAAAATGAATACAAGCGCAGCAGGAACTGAAAGAAAGACACATCTTCCACACAGCAATCTACAGCTGATTGACCAACTAAATTTAGATAGTGGCCTGCGCACGGAATATAATTGTCCTTGGACCCAACGATTTCATTACTGGCTCGAAAAGCCAGCCCTCTCTCACAAAGGAAAATGCTTGTCTTAATATAATGTAACAAAATGTTTTTCAGTATTTTCGTTGTTCCATTAAGTTTTGGTGTAACCACTCGTCAACTTGCCCACCAGCAACACTACGTTGACATAAAGTCCAGACTGAGTTTATATGTTTGGGACTTGTTTCATGTGTTTTTAAATAGTTGGTTATATTCTTCCAATCTGTAAACCCCTGACCAGAAAGATGTACGCGGTCTGGCGAAAACAAAAAGCAAGGGAAACAGAAAACACAGGCTTTGGCTGGAGAATATACTAGCCAGTCACGATCAACTACTTCTCCATTTGACAAAATACGTTTGAATGCACTGTTATTTAAATACCGATTCACGCCAGAAAAGTCTCGTTTTGTCTCTGTATAGTCACTGGCCAAATTCCAAAACTGGTTTGCTCCGCGAGTTATGCACATTTCAAGCACATCGTCCGTTATGTCACCTAGATGCCCTACATCATTTGCTATTGTTCCTGAAATATTACCAGTTTCGACTGTTTTAGCATCAGCTAGCTCAGCTTCAGCAGTAGGCTCTTCTTGGTTGCTGTCAATTTGAGATGAAGAAGCTTCACCACCAGCTACCCCAGCTCCAATATTACTAGCAGTAGGCTTTTCTTGGTTGCTTTCGATTTGAGATGAAGAAGCTTCGCTTCTACTTTTCTTTTTAACATGAAAAATTGAAGTCAGTTTCGTTAATTTTTTAAGTTCTTCTCCTTCTTTAATTTTCTTCTCCAACACCTTCGCTCGTTCGTTTTGACATTTCAAGATACTAATCCTAGCAGACACTGAGGATAAGTATGCACAAGAAAAGTACATTATGAAGTAATGTGGTAGCGCCTATGTTATGGCAGTGGTGGTGGTGATGCTGCTGCTGCTTTTGTTGTTGTTGTTGTTGTTTGTTATTGTTGTTGTTTGTTGTTGTTGTTGTTGTTGTTTTGTTTTGTTTTTTGCTGCTGCTGCAATGGTTTCCATTATATTATGTCGATTCTGGTCTCTATCAGCATCCTCAATATTTTATATTATAAGTAAAGTACTAGTTCGTGTACTACTGCTGACTGAGATCAGAATGCGGTCATACTGCATAACCACTGTCAAAATAAAATATATCCAGTTGCAGCCAAAGCTGCAGTTTAAAAGACCTTCTCCCACACATACACACAAACTTTCCTGTCTCTCCCCCCCCCCTCCCCTGCCCCCAATCCCACCAACTCTCACTTTCCCGTTGGGTTTCTTCATTTTCCTGTTAGTATGAAGAAACATTTGTTCACGTAATTTAACATCTAGTTTTACCGACATATGATAGCATTAGTATTGAAAATAACGATTTGGCTCTCTGTTGCTTAGGCTAGCAATATGTAAGTCATAAATCATAACTCACAAGGCATTTATAAAGCGCCCACTCCAGAAGATCTGCACTGAGGCGCTAAAATTTGGATCAATTGAATATTTTCTGGCACAGAAATGTCTTGTCTCAACATTTCCTATTGCTGCAGGCAGTGCGTTCCATAAAGATGGAGCTGAAGCACAGAAAGCCCGATTTCCGATTTTTGTTCTGGCATTTCTAGTTGACAGTCTTAGGTGTTTACCCTGTCTTGTGTTTCTGAAAGATGCTTTCACATTTATGAGTTCTGTGATCTAGGATCGTCCAATTTCGTAGATTGCTTCAAAAGCTAACAGTAGGATATTTAGGTCAACCTCACAAGTAACTGTTGAGTCCCGAGTTCCGGGGAGGGGGAGTTGTGGAGGGGATAGGGTTGAGGCCTAAAAGCGGGGATGCCATTAAAAAACATATAAACACTGCGCTACTAGACTTAGACTAGATTTATCTAGATCTAGGTTTATTCTACGTTTTATATTATTCATTCGGAATCTGGACACTAATTTTGTTAGGTTTCAATTTGCTAAAAAACAAAAAATAGTACAAAAAATAACTTTTTACACGTATAACGTTGGCATCCCTTCCTGTCCCTTCCCTTGCTTAAAACGTCTATGCCTAATAATAGATGTATGAATTATTATACAGATAGCACCTTGATTTTTTTTTATATCGGGGGTTTTGTAAGCACAGTTCACCTTTCACCTCATATGCACTTAGAAAACTGTCGAATTTGGCAGACATTAGGCTAGAAATGTAGCATTCGCAAGCTTTTGACTCCAGCAGGGCCACAACTTTGGAACTTTTACCTGGGCTGCCAGGTATCTGGTGACTTTAGAGGCCAAATGTGTTTGATTTGGAACCCACTGCTAATGATTCAATTTAATTTTAGAAAAAAATGTGGCCTAGAGAGAGGCCAAACAAAATGTCACAGCACTTTCTGAACTAGGCCTGGGACTAAAAACTCAGTCGGACTCTGGCTAGGGCTAGCCTAGGGCTATTCTAGTTGTGGCCTTGCTGACTGTCCTTGCTGCGGCCTGATCAAAACGGGGGAAAACCCGAAAAAATGTGGCCTTGTTGTACCCTGTCTCTGGCCCGTTTGTGGCCTATTTTTTTGAGTGGCCTCAAGGCAATTGCCTTATTTGCCTAATGGTTAATCCGGCACTGGGTAGACAGCCAGGCTAGCCGTACTTAATATTGATGGCTGAATTGTAAATTAAATTTTTAGTTTGCAATGCCTAAAGTATTTGTATTTCAGACAAAACCAAAAGGTGCTTTACTGACTTGCATGTATTTGAACCTGAATAATTACTAGATCTAGATCTAATGAGACCTGTGTACTTAACAGGTTTGAGTCAATAGGGCCAAACCTAGATCTAAGTACGGCTAGACTGGCTGTCTAGCCACTTCGTTACAGGAACTTTTCGTGTTTGTTGAAATCTGAAATTGTATACACTTAATCTAGAGAATCGAAAGCATCTTTTTTGAACAAATGAATAAATTCGTTTAAACTGTTTTTCAGTTATTTTTCTTTGAATTTTTGTTCCTTGGCTTTTTGTGCGAGTTTATTAAGGAAATTTTACTGACTGTATATCACAATAAGTCAATCTAAATAAATCCACTGTCAACCACAAGCCGCTTGACTGAAAACAACTCAGTCTTACAGCACATCAGTATGGGTGGGCCGACTCCGAGAACTTCCGAACTTTCGACTCCGAACATTTTTGGGCGCGAATTCGTCGACTTCGACTCCGAATTCGAATTCAGGTCAAGATAGCAGCCAATCAAATTTGAGGAGAGGCAAGGTCAATTCGGTGGGATTCGTGTCAAGTCAAGTCGTTCTCCCTACATCCGTCGAGTCGAACACGCTGTAGAGAATCCCGACTCCACGGACCAGTGTAGACAAAGGGGGCGGGGAGGGGGGAGGGGGAAGGAGCAGGGAAGAGGTCACAGAGGTCGGGATTGAGGCAGGCAATGTTTTCATTGACATCAGGGGAGGGCACCAGTTTGTTTTGAAAGTTATTTGCCCCTCGTTGACAGTACAGCCGCATTCATGTGCGAGGATAATGGATGCAAACAGGTCATAATAAAAATCAAAGCATAAAATCCCGCAGTCTCGAACTCTAAAGTCAGACCATGCAAATCAAAGCAACAGTCAGCAAGACAGAAGTCTATAAAAAAGAACAGTAATAGATCTAGATCTAGATTTATATCATAATCAACATTTATTATGACAAGATGAAACATACAAGGTTGAAAACAAACATGGAGTAATGCAAAAGAGACGAGAAATGTGACAATGTAAATGTAAGTGCCAGACAGGTCGTAAGAAAATACATGTAGATAGTACAATGAAGAGAAGAAAAGTAGTGAAATGTGTGTGATCGTAGTGAAAGCCAAAGAAAGAAGGAGGCTGGGATAATCACGGGATTTGAATTTGACGTGAAGATGGCTTGCAATTGTGATTGGTGCAATCAGAGACGCAATGCTCGTCCGTCACCGTAGTGCGTAAATTTGACCTTGGCCTCTTAGGGCATAACCACCAGCAGAAGGGATTTGTAACTGCTAGCGAATCAGCGCGTTCTAAAAGCTCATGTGACTTTCATTGAGTCGATGGAATCGTGGGACGGTCCAATTCGAACTCGCTGCTTCCTTCTGAACACAGCGAGGGGAAAATAGAAATAAGACATCGTGTTTTATGATACTTTTCAAACTTATGCATTTTTATTCATTCAAATCTAACTTTTGAGCGTTCAAAAATGTTTCTTGGGTGCAGTTTTGCGTAAAATTATTCACAGTTTTTAACAAATTAAATATGTTTTTGCTCCTCGTGATCTATTTTCCCCTTGGCTGCCCTAGTTCGGGAATTCGTGTTCGGACTCGTCCTCCTGCCCAATGTTCGATCTCCGACTCAGACCCCACGAATTCGCCGAATTCCGAATCTCGACTTGACTTCGCCCATGCTTAAGCACATGCTGTCAGTTTTAAAACAATAGATTTAAAGGGGAAAAAACAACAACAACAAATCCCAACAACTAACACTCAACTACCGTTCTTGTTCTTATTTTTAAAAATCCCCACGCAGACTGTAATTGAATACTAATGCTTATAAAGAAAACACCTCTTTATATTTGTCGCATTTGCACGAAAATCGAGATTAAACATAAAAAAAAATTTATTTCATAGGCACATACAAAATATCAAAATTAACAGGGCAATTCGCCACTCAGTTTCTGTGTAATGAGGTCAACAAGTTGTTCATTTGGTGTTGTCTAGACTATACGAAACTTGCTCTAAACGTCATCGTTGTTTGGGTCAGTCTGTAAAGCATTTTTCGAGTTAGATAACCACAACTGGACATGCTATTTATTACTTGGGTGAAGCACGAAACTTGGTATTATGGTATAGTAAATGTGTGCTACAGATATATTAATGACCGATTAGGCTCTGGCGAGGAACTCGAATGGAAAATTCATTGGATAGTGGATGTTCAAGGTTCTTTTTCTCTCTCTTTGTGGGTATTATGTGCGCATTACATTTTTTGGGCGGCAGTGCACGACCATGATCTATGGGCGAGCTGCCCCTGATTATAATCATCATTATCTTTATTATGACTAAACTAGACGCTGCCATGGCCACCGCTCCTTGCTGTCTGTGCTGGTGCGCACAATGTTGGTCATGAATGACGGAATAAACTTTAATGTTTTCCTTCGTCGCCAGCTCTACCAGGAAAAAATTGTGTCGTATCCGGTTTCTGGCTCATCCCGGACACTGTGCAGTTGTAGGCTTTGTAGGTTGGCCTACAAGCGGATCAACCACAACAAAATCCGGTACTGAATCGAGGCCAAGTTCGCGACCAGGCCAGATATAAGAGCCAGGTTTATGGACGTCGGGCAATACTGCAGCTACAGACAAGCAAAGGGAGGTTGGAACTTGCCACAGACTTACTACAGTGAACAGGTGGAAAACTGGCCACAAGCTTACAGACGACCAAAGACAGGTTGAGATTTTTCACACATTTACAGACGACCGAGTACCATGGCGCCATCCTACAACTTTCTTACACTGATTGGACCACTTTGCCTCATGCTCATTTCTGGAACTGGTGAATATAACTTTTTCCCCTTGTTCGATTTATATACTTTTTTCTCGCAACCCCACCTCATGTCTTCAGCTTTTTCTACCTCATCCTCCTTCTCGCAATGAACCTCTTCTGTGATCTGATCTATCGCCATCTCCTCTTTCCTCCTTCCTCTATTCCACATCCTCTATCCTCCTTCCACTAAGCTCTGATCTATTCCCCTGCC